TTACCCAATTTCAACAAATTTACACAGCCACAAGGACTTATTTAGTGTTTGCACTACTCAATCTGTTAGTTTGCATTCCTCTGTGTAATGCCATACTTACACAAATGCTCTATGATCTGCCAGTCATGCTAGTATGATCGCTATTACAGGTATCCTAACCCAATCATTAGTAACAGTTGCTGTAATACAAATATTATATAAATGATTATCCAAATTTTCACTATTGATAGGATTTGAATATCCAACCTACCACTTGAAGAGTTGACAACCTGACTACTTCACTAGGTCACTACACCCTTTTATGCTTATTTTATTTTTTGCAATTTCAATGTTTGCTTATAGACTTTTGAGGCATCTTCATCCTCTTCTTTCTTTCTTTTTGTTTCTATTTTTGGCTTATTTTGTCTTTCCTTTATCTCAATTGTTTGTTGTTATTCTTCTTTCTTTTCTGTATCTCTTCTATTTTGGTATTGTTCTACAAAGTCTAGCTTCTTCTTAGGTTGCTCTCTTTCTGCTTTTTCTAGTATTTTTCTTGTTATTCACAAAAGTGCTACTTTATTTAGGTCTTGTCTTGTGAGTGCTGCTACAATATTATCTTCTCTATTGGGTATTGCATATGCCTTGCTTGCTTCATTGAAGAAGATCATATCTGCTAATCAGTATAATACCCCAAAATTGGATTAGTAGTAGATCATATATAAATTAAACTAAATTGTAACATAAAGACTAATAGATGAATACAAAGACTATAAAAATTAATAAACATATAGTTCATATTTAAAAGAGTTTATATACGAAGTAATCAGAGAATTGGTAAGATAATCAGGTCACTTACATATAATGAAACCTTGAGTAGCAGTTTTTAATATATATTTATTTTAAAATGTGGAAGTTTAACCAACAATCCAAACAACTACACTCAGACCTCTCTAAATGCAATTCACTAAGATCAAACTTTTAACAGGCATTTAGAGAATAATAAGAAAAAATTGCATTTACATATATCAAAATATATTTGGACCAGAGCTTGAAGTTGTATTTAGAGGTATTGTATTTAGATGGGTTGCATTTAGAAAGGTCTGACTGTAGTATGTTATTTTGATCACTTCAAAGTTTTTTTTTTATCTGTATAATATATTATATTGGCTATTAATTTATATTTAGTATTTTAGATTATTGCATAGACTTTTAGGTTTTTATAAAGTATCATTTCAAGTGAAAATAAGAACATTGATGATAACATGAAAGGATTCTATCTTAGAACTACTAGATATAATATATATAATTGAATTAAAAAATTAGATAATATTAAGATAATTGGTAAAAGAAGATTTGACTTTATGTTTCTACAACTTGGTTTAGCATTATATAAACAATTGGTATTGATAGTAATTTATAAGAATACATGTGCTAGAATGTCAAGACTTATATGATTTTGGAGATTTTTCATTATTTAAACAATAAAAATTCCTAAAATCGCTTAAGTCTGAACATTCTAACATGTGCTATCTAGTATGATTGCTTAAGTTTGGATATTATGGAAAAAAGGTTTTTAAGAGGTTATAATTCAATCTATTAAACATGATCTAATACATTGGTACATTTATGAAATTAGACTAAAATTCGATCACCAAATATAAGTATTTGTTTTCTAAGTTTACAATTTAGTCACTAAATTATATACTGTATTCATTGGATTAAACCTCAAAAAACTTTTTGAACCTATGATCTATTTTGATAACACATCTAGCCCATTTTTCATACTATTAGAAATTTATATATATTTATATGCCTTAACCTGGAGTATTAATTAACATAGTTAAAATTCAGTATTATATGCACTGTAATAATATTAAATGTAAGCTTGTAAAATTTATTGATATAAAATATATATTACGAGATAGTAGTCAAGGATACAGTATATGAATTAACTCAAAACAGAAATAAATAAATGCATGATTGAAATTGTAATCAAGATCTTACTAGACAGACTAAATTAGGACTGCTTTTTCAAATAATTTAAAACAAGATGAATTTATACAATATTTATATATAGCATTAATAATTGTCTTAAAAAATTATCAAGTACCCTATCTAATAGATCAAATGTTGTTAGCTAAATAAGTTAACCAAGTAAGTTACCATTTAGATGAAAAAAGTGAAGCATACTATTCTTTTTGCTCTGATTGGTTAAAAATTTAGACCCAAATTTCACATGAATTTTTAATCATCATGAAGACACTTCAATTAATATTAATCACTTAATAGCAAATTCTATTAAGAAAAATGCTTAGAAATTTTCTTAGTCTCTATTTTAGACTGCTGAAAGGCAAGATAAAACTGATTCATAATACCTATGGCTTTGGTCGAAGATGTCAACTGAACAAAGACCTTCCGATGGTTATAAATTTTGTCAGGTTATGTCATAATTTTAAACCAAAAAAATTTTAATTGAATATCAATATATTTTTTTAAAAAAAAACAGATTGGTATGTACATAGCTATTATACTAAAAAACTAATTTAGTACATATGTAGTGATAAGATGCATATGGGCATTATTCTTATACTGTTTGGAGTGGTATAATTTTTTAAATCATATATATAATTGGTTTTTATAAGGTCAAATAAGATATAAAATAAATTAAATATCTTACCTTTCTATTCTATTTCAATTTTAATAATAGTAATCCATACAAATTTGATGTCTTGGTTTTATAAGATCTTTAAGTAAACCCAGCCAGCTGGCTTTTTTTTTTTAACAACCCACCTGACCTGGTCAGGGTTAATCTATTTTAATATTGTTATTGTAACCTATTTTTTTAATACATAATAAACAGGATTTTATATGTCTAATAGAAAATTGAAGAATTGACAAACCTGTTATATTTCTACGTAGTAATATATATGCTTTAGCTATAGCATTAAAGATAAAATTTGTTGGTATATAATTTTAAAATTATATTAATTGACTCTTTGTTAATATGAATTACTTTACCAAGCCTTGTCTTTATTTTAAAGAGTTCTCTATTATTGTCCTATTACTACAATAGACAAAAATTCAATTTGCATCTTCGCTACTGCCTGAATAATAAAAAAAAAGTTCAAGCCTTTAAAAATAATTTTTTTGAAAAATTATTAGAATAGAAAATTTTACAAAATTTATTTGAAAAAAAAATCTGTAAAACTGCATTGCCAAATATCTGATTCATATAAAAGATCAATTTAGCAGATCAGTACGTATTATTCTTAAAGTAAAAAATATAGAAAATCAACTAACAACTCAAACATCAATAGCATGCCAGTGCTATTTTAATATATTTTTAGAAGAGAAACCATTATATAAAGGAGATCTAAGAATAATTAGTTCTTCAACACCAGTTTCTGAAGAGAAATGTCAAAAATTAGAAGGAAAATATCTCTGTTAAACATATTATAATCGAGAGGTTGTTAATAAAAATCAGTTTAAAATTCATTAAATGAAATTAAATAAATACTGTGCTCATCCGAAACATAGTATATATAAGCAACAAACAAAAAAAAAAAGGGCAAACAAAAACCAAAGATGCACTTATTAATCTATTTGTTCAATTTTGTAAAGTATTAGAACTTGACTCAACTACCAAAATATGTCATAGGTGTATAAAGTTTACAGATAATGACCCAGATTATGTTACAAATCATAATTATATTCTAGCAACTAAATGGCTTCCAAAAACAACAAACATTATACAAAAAAAGATTCGAAGTATCAAACCTTTACAAGACCTAAGCAAGTCAATGAAATACAAACAATATAAAAAAATAGCAACATCTTTTTCAACTACATTTCATAATAAAATACAATTAGCATGTCACTCAAGTGATAAAGTAATTTTAAATGAAGTAACATTTTCAACAAATGGTCAACAATTTTAAGTTACATATAATAAACCAAACAATAAAAATCTAAAAAAGCTTGCTATTGTATGTACAATGGATAAAAAACATATTTCTCGAAATGTTTACTGAGTTATTACAGGAATTTAGCAAGATTTATCTAAAGAATGGGCTATTTCCAAAACAAAGCGATGGATTGATGATCAAATGCAACAAATAATTCTAATTAAAAGTATTAATATCAATTTAGATATTTCACAAAAAAATAATTTAGAGACAAATAAAAATGTAATGATAGATATTGATGATTCTAAAATTGTTGAAAAAGTTACAGAATCAATAGGAAAGGCGGCATATAGGTCATTAAAAGATATTTTATCATATATTATTCCATTTTTAGTTCAAAAAAAAACTCTTCAATTATCAGATCCAACTCTACACATCTGAATTTTAGGAGATGGCCATAATGTTAGAAAAAAAATAAAACATATAATAGTTACGTTTGCACTACTTAATGATTTAGATACCATTTATTATCCCGAAAAGCACTATACTCTTTTAATATACCTTAGTATTGAAAAATATGAAACTTTGGAAATTGTATTAGCACCATTAATTCAGGAGTTAAGTGAGATTAAATCTGGTTATTTGGATAATGAAGGACATGATTGGAATATATGTTTATATTTTTTAGCTAATTGGAAATTTTTAGCAATTTGTTTAGAACATAAGGCAGCCAATGCAAAAGATTTTTGCCTTTGGTGCTCAATTAAAAAAAACCAAAATGGAATTAAAACATATGACTGGACTATATCTAAACGTATAGAGAATCTTAATATTAATTACTTCAAAATACCTAGTCATAAAAGTAAACCTTTATTTTCTATGATTTCTCTAACTCATTGGGTTGTTGATGAACTTCATGTGATGTTACAAATAACAGACCAATTGTGGTTACTTTTAGTTTCAGAGGTTGGCATCAAAAATAATTCTAAAGTTCGTACTATAATTAGCCAAGAAATGTTGCGAATTTATATTCACTTTGATTGGTAAAAAGATCCAAATACAAAAATATGAACATCAACATCTTTAACAGAAGTAGACAAGCTAAAAGTGTTATGAAATTTTAATTTAGATTTGTTATTTTTAGATAAAGATCATGCTTAGTTAATTTGACAATTATAGAATAGTTTTAATGAACTTTATAAAGATATGCATAAACAATGTATAGATGGAGTTGAATTCAAAAAAAAAGCATTAAATTGGATAGATTTATTTCTAACTTCATCTTCAGGTAATTCTAATTTTTTACAAGTTTTTATTAATACTGTAATAAGATATATTTTTTTTATTTTAATTTAGGAAATCTGAATTATTTACAAACCTTTGTTCAAGAACTTTATTAGCCAAATGATATCACCCTCTATATTCATACTTTGATTTATCATATTCTGAAGTTTCTTAATATTCATTCAAATTTTAGTATATATAGTTTTTCCTGTTTTGCAGTTGAAAAAAAAAATCACCAACATGTTATATACTTTTTTCGAAAAACTTTAAAAAATGGAGAGAAAGAAGATATACACAAATCAGCAATTGTTAAAATAATGGAATGAAAAAATAGAAATTTGTATTTTTTGGCATATGATGTTCCTGTTTTTTTTAAAAAAATTACTTCTATTAATGTCATAATTTAATAATATAGATCTTTAATAAATTGTGACATTATGATAATATGTAATAATATTGAAATTATGTTTATTATTATTGGACAATACTTTGTATAATCTGGTAAGTGATTATTAGTTTATATGAAACTAAATATTCATGTTATAAACACTTACATTTTATTATTTATGTTATGTATAAAGACTATTGAGCTTTTCAGTTTATTTTAAATCAACAATTCAGATTCATTAAATATTTACTATTCAACAAGATTATTCGTGTTAATCTAGCAAGTTTAAAAAATACAATTATTCGTATTAACTGGTAAGTATTAGAGTATTTGTTAATCTATTTAAAATTACAATTTAAACTTATTTCTTGTTAAATATATTCTAAACTGTTTTATTTATATTAATTTAGTATCATAAAATTTAAGTATTGTTATAATCTACTTCTCAAACAGTTTTATTAATTTAGTAAGTACAAAGATTATTTTATTTTTCATTTAAAGTTAATGACTATTTTTAACTATATTTTATTTACTATCATACAGATTTTTCAAATAATTTCATATATTGCTAAACAAATATGTAAGATAGGTATTTAAAAATAAAAGGCAATTAAAATTTGTTAAAAGTTAGAAAATTTAAATAGATAGCTTAATGTTAAATTTTACTATAAAAATGGAGTGGCGTTTTGAAAGATAAAAAAAATATATTTGGGCAGAATTTTAGATCTACTAAATGAAAATTTAGGCAAAGGTATAATAACTTTTTTTACAAAATTGTATAACTTTATATTACTGATGATTATAGAGATGCTATATTAACTTCTAACTAGTTTTACTATTATACTTACAATTTTTCATATCTTTAACTGCGATTTATCTCTTAAAGTATTTGAAATATGCTGAAAGTGAAATTTGAGTAGATATAAAGTGTGATATTATTATAACCAGAAAAAGATATTTTAGACAGCTTTGAAATCTAATAAAAATGGAAATTCTACAACCCCACTATTTTATTGGTTATATTATTGAAACAGTAAATATTTAACTAGATAATTATAAAAGCTATTGTTGGCATATTTAAAATCAGTAATTTAAACTTGTAAGCACTTATTACTAAATATTAATATAATATACAAGCGTAATTAATCACTTCTCAGGCTATTAATTAAAAATGTAAGTACGAAGATTATTTATTGGTTTGTTTATGATTGGTAACAAATTTTAAATATTTTTACATTAGTATTAATTTGAGCATGTAAGGATATTTATTATTAATTTATTTATTAATCACAATTCAGGCTTATAAGCACTTATAGCTATATAGTATTGAATTATCTAGTATGTTAATAGATTGTAATTTACTTAGAAATGAGTATGTGAAAGTGAAAATCTGAAAACTGATTTAATGATTTACTATAATTGGTTTCAGGTTTTCACTCTCACTTACTCAAATCAGAAATTCATCAAACAATAATTCATAGATCATTTTATTTATGAATAGGATATTGCTACTGAAATGATATTGTGTTATTAAAAGAAAAACAAATTGAATAATATTTGAAATCCACTAAAGGTAGATTTAAATAGACAACTAATATTAAATTTTATTAAAAAATAATAAAAACTCGATCAGAAAATCTAATGTTGGACATTTATATTAATTTTAAATTTAGTATAAAGCGTATCTTAGAAGCATTGTATAACTTTTGATATAATAGCATTGCAAGATCAAATTATGTAAAAAAATCTTAATAGTTTAAACTTATAAGTCTATAAAGTAAAAAGTCTTTTATTTTAAAAATGAATAATTGTTTCTGCTGCCTATTTCTAGATATCTATTTCTAGATACCTAATTCTGAACATTTATTTCCTGACAACCAACAGTATTAAATAATTATATATTAGAATACAGGTAAAATTATAGGAATTCAATAAAATAATTGTTGATAAAGTGGCTTTTAGAAATTGTATCAGAAGCTTTTAGAAGACCATACAGAATTATTATCATAAATAGCTAGATAAAAGATTCAGATCTGCTATGTACTATATCAAATGCGAATTACAAAATCTGTCAAATATTCAAACTGCTGTTAGAAATAAAAAATATGTGTGCTCTTTAAAATTCTTCTTTTAATGATATAAACTCCCAACTATGTACTATACCTGGGGTCTATTATAAGTTTAAAATTAGTAGAATATAAGAAACCTGGATCTTTTATCAGGCCATTTATGGATTATGTCTGGATAAACTGATAAATTTATTGATTTGCTTAATTATAAATACATATACAATAATGTTTTAATACAAGCCCCAAATAATCTAAATAATTAAATTAATTCTAATTTAAAGTGATCTTAGAAGTTCTTTTTTCATCATCTTGTAATAATCCATTAGCAAAAATTCTACCTGTTTTTTTTAACTATATGACAAGTTTAGCTTTGATGTAATTCTGATCTGATAAAAAAAAAAATTAATTTAATAAATCTTATACAAATCTTATACTTGGAAATGTGTTATCATTAACTTGAATCTTACATATTAGTGAAATTCAACTACTGCATTATTATTAAAGGATCCATTGTTAAAAGGCTTGGTATAGTAGAATAAACATATTTAGTAGTATGTTATATTTCTTTATAAAAATAATTATTATGAGTAATAAACAAGACAATAGTTATTTATCTAACATTAATTTATCCTTACCTTGCTATTTAAAGATATCGAACCTGATCTAGTATAGATAGAAGTCAATAGTAACTGAATTTTGCATCTTGTTATTTGACCTAAATCATTTATACAATGCTTAAATACCAAATATACTTTGAAAAAAAATCTGGATTTAGTCACTTCAAAATCACTAATATCCAGTATTCTAAAATCTGTAATTGATTCTATATTATCATAAAATGGTAATAGCTTGAACCATAGAGTTGGATAGGAAGATTAATACCTAGTTTATGTTTAAGATTAGATTGCATGCAAGAATGAGTTGTGTTTGAAGCTTCAAAAGGGCCTAATCATAATATAATACAGTAGAATTTGTAATGCATTATTTAATGAGATTGTATATTAAACAATAGTTAAGTGATCGTATATATATATTAAACTAATCATACCTTGGCTGTTGTACATCTTTCTGCAATAATACAAAATTAAATGCTAATCAAGTATAATCACATAAAACAGTATAAGGATTTAACATATACTCTATGCAAACAACTCATTTATTCTTAATATTTAAAAAAAAAAATAAGTTTTATTTTTAAAAATTTACAAATCTGTTAGCTTAAACTTTGCTATCTGCCCATAGACTTGCTATAATCGAATCTTTAACGATTATTTAACCTAATCTCTTCCAAAAGTTGCGAATTGAAAATTAATAAATAGTTTTTATACTTACCAATTAATAAAACAATTAATTTGGAGAATTTTTGTCTTTGCATGTTTTAAATATCACTTAGATACTCTCTTATTATTTTAAAAATATTATGTATATTATTAAAATAATATAAAGATTTTTGCTTTCTTTAAATTTCGAATCCTTATTTTTAAAAATCTCTATTACTAATAAATAATAAAAATGCTATGCTTATTTTATTTTAAAAAAAAATTCTATTTAAAATAGAATTGTGCAATATTAAATCAGATAGAAAGAAATCCAGCACTCAAAATATGATTAGCTGTATCTATAATTTCTTTTCATTCCTATCTAATTTCTAATTTTGATTTTTTATTTTCTGCATTTAAAATTACCCATATTTGTTGTTTGTTTTTATATTCTCGAACCTCCACTTTTCATCATTAAGAATTTGTTCTAAACATTCATAAGCTCCAATTCCAGTAAAGATACATTGGTATCAGCCACGACTTGATGAATATCGATTGATATATTTATTAAACACACTAACAAATTGACTTTCAAGACATGGTATTATAATTACTTGTCATTCTACTTGTTGTGTACTAGTTTTTAATTTAGTTTGTATCATGTGAACCAATGTGTTTTTGAATTCAATAATTGCTTTGGATGGTTGAGGTATAAGTCTAGTTTAAGGTGTATTATAATGTGAATGAACTATTGTTTCATAATGACTTAAGCCTGCTTGGCTTTTGTAACTTTTTTTAGGACATAGTTTACAAAAAACATGAGAATGAACTGAGGATGATATTTGAAAATTATTTTTAGTTTGATGAACTTTTTACCAATATAAGTGTAAACTTTTGTTATTTTTAAAAGTTTTATGTTGATATAATGAGCACAAAACTTGTGTCGGGTTAGCATTAAAATTATGTTGTGCCATAATAATAAGGTATACGTATTACATAGTATATATATAGTATATATATACAAATTATTTTATAATAAAACAATTTATATATAAATCAAGGGGGTATTGATTATGTTATATCTAATTATATAAATCGTGTAACATTTAATATATATAATTTGGTGACCTAAATTGATTTGTTTATTACATTTTGAGTGCCCCAAAAAAAGGTCCAATTCCACAAATTAGCTTTTATGTTTTATTATATACACTATTCATCACTTCATATGCCCTTCTTGTAAAGATTGCATTGAGACTTCTTCTGTATTCTTCTGGCAGACTTCTGTTCATGTTGCACAATCATTTTTTATATGCTTCTATGTTACATGTTGTATTTAGATTAAACTAGTTTAATGTATATATTTGTTTGTTTATTTGCTTGTCCTATTGTAACTTCTCATATAACTTAAGAAATTTATGATACAGAGTTTTGGCAATTTCTTAATTTTTCCAAACAATTTTTTATTTTTTATCAAAAGAATTCTATATGCTGTTTTCTACTATTTTTAAGATTTCTTTTCTATGTTTTCTATTAAACTATATGCAATTTTTGCTGTTCTGTCTTTTTTGTTAGTATTTTAAATTTTGTTTTCTAGTCTAGTTGTTGTGTTTCTCTTAGTTTTGCTTTCTAGAAATTTTGGTCAAAAGATCTACAGAGAAGAGTGCTCAATTAGTTTTGTGTATACAATTTTGAAATATGTGCAAAATGATTAATTTATTATTGTTATATTTATTTATTATAATTATGTATATAATTTTATCTATATTTAAAATAAGTCCCAAACTGAATTCTTATATGTAAAAATTTGGGACTATTAGCCATAATATTAGCTATATGTCAAAAATGTTTGACATTATGGCAAATTAAATGTATTTTGCAAAAAATATAATAAATACTATTTAGTTTTTACCTAATTCCAAACTAATAAGTTTGAGTAGAATCACTAATTATTATACTAAAACTAATACTTATAGTTAGAATTAGTTATTAAATTACTATGCTCTTATAAAATTCATTTGAACTTCAATATTTACTTTATAGCATATTCAAATTACTTTAGTATATCTTTGCTTGTTTTCTAAACTCTTAATCCAAATAGCTTAATAAAACTACAACTAGTTCATTAGTATATTAGATTAATTTAGAATTTTTTTTTGGCTTATTCTGACAGCCTGGTTGGTGGTACTTCTTACTAAAGATTTTTGCTTATCTAAATACTTTGACATTATTATTTATTTTTTAAAATTAGTATTTATAGTAATACTGTTAAAAATTTATATTACTTCTTTATTCAGATTTTTCTAAATGAACTTTTTGTTTTTTAATTTTAACAGATTTATACAGTTACAAAAACTTATTTAAAGTTTGTACTGTTTAATGAAAGTTTGCACTTTTTTGTATAATGTTATATTTATATAAATACCTTATAATCTTCTAGTTATACTAGTATAACTGCTATTACAAATATTTTAATACAATTATTAGAAATAATTACTATAATATAAATATTATATAAGTGATTATTTAAATTTTTACTATCAATAAGATTTGAATATCTAATTTACTACTTGAGAAGTTAATAACTTATTCACTTTATTAAATCACTACATTTTTTTTTTTTAACTTTGATAGCCATAATGATCAACTAATCAAAAGTTTATTCATAAATGTTTAATATAAATAATATACAAATATAACTATATCTAATTCTATATGCTATTATTATATAGTTATCTCAATTGGCTTCTATAAGCAATCTGCTATACCAGACCTGCTAAAGTCTAAATTGAGCTTATTTGTCTACCATCCTACAATGAACAACAATTTGATTTCTTTCATTTATAAGAAGGTAAAAAAAAAAAAAAGACTTCTTGTTGAAAAGGAAATGTATTAAAAAAATATATATAAAAGAGAAACATAAAAAAAACAAATATTAAAAAATAAAAAAGAATAAGGTTGCTAACAAAGGCCAGATAAACAGTTACTAATTAAAAGACTATATTGGTTTACTAAAAATTATATATTACTAAATACAGTAATCTCTATTTTAACTTCATCTAATTAATATATTTAATACTAAAGCTTATATTCTAAAAGAAACAATTCAACTAAAACTGAATTGGCAGAGAAGTTTTTATATGTCAGATGTTCCAATTTCTTACTATTGGATTCATATTTATATATAACTTTTCATACTTTTCATCAGATTTTACATTTTAACACTTGTTATATTTTTGATTAATCATCTTATTTTTTGCTAAAAATCTCCAATCTTATCTTATTGTTGTATTTTTTTTAAAGATATATGTACTTATACTTTATTTATAACAGGCCTTTTCAAAATAAAACTAATAAACAATTTTAATTTAAAAGAATCAACAATGCTAAATTGTCTGCTTTTTGATAAAAATTTCTTAAAAAAAAGTGAAAAGAGAATTTTTTAAAGTACTAACTATAATAAGTGTAGGAGTTTATATTATATAAAATAGTATATTCAACCAGGCTTCTATTTTTGCTGTTGCTCAGATATAGCTTAACAAAAACTTCCTTAGTTGTAGTCAAAGTTACTTTTTTAATAACTTCATAAACTTTTACTGAAAAGCCAAACTCATAAGGAGCTGTTTTTTTTAACTTTTTTTCATATTACCTATATGCAATCTGAAACTCTTGAACTCAAACACTATGTGAAGTTTTGTTATATATAAATATATTAACTATATAATTTTTATAGATTAGTATATATAAAAAAATTAGTATATCTCTTTATAATCTTTTTATTATTTTTTAATATATAAAACTTTTGTTTAATTTTGTTTTAGCTTTTAATTTTATATATTTGTTTTTATTAATTCAATTATATTAATTTTAAAAATAATTAGTAAAACTTTTTCTTACTGCTTAGTTTACTTTTATTAATATTTTTTAGTTTATTTAAAATTTAATTTAAAATATCTTTTATATATAAAATTTTTATTTATAGATCTGAATATTGCTATTCTAAAGGCATGTGCATATAGCTAATAGAATAGCTACTAGTTTAGCTTTGTATGATGATAGCCAGAATTTAATTTGAGAAGATATTTAGAGAACTTTTCTTTATAGATTCCTTGACCAAAAATCAGTAAGAAGCAAAATGTAAAAAAATTATAAAACCTACTAGAAAGCAATACTAAGACTCTTAGTAAAAAAGAAAGAGCCACAAAAGTTACATTTAGTTAAAAAACAAAATACAAATAAGAAAAGCTTAGAGGTAGCAGAGCTTGAGAAAATAAAAAATTTTTGATGAAAACAAAAATTCTTTGTAAAAATTTTGGAGAATTCCTGTAACTCTGTTGTGCAAATTAATTAGTTTACACAGAAAGTACAACAAAACAAATAAAGTAAACAAACAAGCATATATACAGAAATAGTTTATCAGAGCAAATATGTAATATAGAAATAGCTACACTAAACCAATTGACAAATAAAATGACAACAATTCATATGAAAGAAAACACATATAAAGTAAAACCTAGGAACTTATTAGAAAAGATGTTAAAAAGATCAATGGCACAAAGCTTACAAAGAGTTGGCAATGCAGAGCTAGTTAAAATACTAGAAACAACAGATGTTATAGAAACAAGAATAGACAGATATATAGCATTATTGTTCATAGCAGATGTAGCAGATATAGCACCAGTAAGAACATTAAATAAAGTTATTACATAGGTGAACAAAATAAGTAGATTGATTAATTTTAGCTTTAAAATAGAGAATAGCTTACAACAGCAGAGAGAAAGAGAAGCAAAAAACATAGCCCAGCC